TTGTGTACATTGAATTTTAACATTTAAGTGTAAAATTAAATTTCGTATAGTTAATCCGAAATGTAAAAGGCTTGAATGAAATTTGATGTTACAAATAAATAAAATAAATTATTAGCATATATCGTTAAAAAAACACTACCGTAGAATTACAATTTTTAATATAAAGATCTAATGATTAAATATTTTAATCCTATATGTAAAATTTTATACATGTTAAATACTTATTTAATATAATTATCCACAATGAAAAAATATTTTTTTAATAAAAATTAAGTGTCCTTTCTTATGAATTATTAAAAAATATATTGAATTGAAAAAGTAATAATATTTTTCTTATTTAAATTTCAAAAATATTATTATCTTAAATATTTATTTAATTTATTCATAGTACATATATTATGTTTTTAAATAAAAAATTTGTTATTTAGTAAGAATTATTAAAAATATATTAAATTTATTTTACTACTAACACCGTTAAGAGTCAAATAGGTTGACCATTAAAATAGGGGGTAAGTGTATTTTCCATAGTTCAAGGGGGGAAGTGTTACATAAGGTATAGTACAAGGGGGTAAAGTGTATTTTGCCATAAGATTTATGTATTCGATTATTTATCGAACCAAATCGTATATTCAGTTTGGTAGATGGTAAGAAATGTTGGCGGGTAACTGTAATTACCCAAACAAGAGGGGATTTTTCGTAATTTGATCATAACTTAGAGGTGGCCGTAATTAGTCATGTTGGGGGTTTTTTGGGCATTGACTTTATTTGCTAAATGTTGACGATTTCATTAATAATTATGCGGGACGCAAAAGTCACAATTTTGCCTAATTTATCGAATTTGTAAAATTCCCTTTTGTTTTTTTAATAATAAGAGTGGCATAAAAGTCAGAATTTTTGTGGGAATGGAGTGAATCATAATTCCAGAAATTATGGTGGGCGCTGCATGGAGCACTTGTTCTATTACCAAAATTAATTAATTATTAATTAAGGAAGAATCTTATACTAAAGATGGAAAATGAACAACTCTTTTGAAGCATCTTTGTCAAAAAGGTAAAGAGGTCTTCTAATTAGAGAATCTGCCCAACCAAGTCATTTAATTATGAAATAAATCAATTAAGATTGGAATGTATACACACATCTATGTATACATACGTCTCACTAAAAAGTTGTGAACCGACTAAATTTAAACTTTATTTAGATTTTTTTATATTAATTTTTAATATCATCAATGCACGTGACCCGACCCTTATTTAGGGGTGGGTATGGGCCGGGGTTTGCAATCCCCGACCCGGCCAGTTTTAAAATCCTCATCACCGTAAAAATCTCGGTCCCCGTGTATATTCAAACTCACGGATGAGGGGTGTATTGATTTTTCTTATTTGCATAATCTAAATATCGAAATTCAGTGAGTTCGAACCCAAGATGCTCCAATTTATATTTTTGTTAGACATTATTTTTAATAAAATAGAGCATATTAATTAATGAAACTAATATAGATCTTTGTAATAAACTCACTTCCCAATAATGAAAAAAAAAATCACAAGTACATCATCACTTCAAAGAACACACATAACATTTCAAAACAACACACTCTTTATTTCCAAATCTTTCAAAATCTAGACAACCTTTGCATACTACACAAATTAAAAAAATCAAAAAAAATTAAAAATACACACAAGACCACACTCTTAACATAACCTAATTGCAACCAATCACAAACAAACACTTATGATTAAACCAAATAAATAATCATAAATGCATCACTGCGTATCCCTAACTTCGAACTCGTTCCGATTCTTGACGACGATGTCGTACATGTGGATCGATTTGAACTTGTTGAAATCCCTAGGGAGTGAAATGAGATGAACCGTTGATCTCTTGTGGAACTGAAGAAGCTCCGGGTCGTCGTAGTACCTCTCCCATCCGAGGGCCGATAGTTTCCGTTCGAGGATAGAATACGACGTGATCACCTCCTTCGAGTTAACGTGGACCAGCATTTTCTTGCTATGGCACTCCCCCGCGTTCTCAACTAGTCGAACCACCCCGTTTTTGAACACCCAAACACCGGACATTTTTTTTATTTTTTTTTTCGAGATTATTATTGAAAAGGGATGTAGGAATAGTAGATGAAATTGTTTGAGGTGGTGAATATGGAGAGAGAGATATATATAGTGTGGATATATATAGGGTATATGGAATTTGTTTTTTTTTTTTGGAGAATATAAATATGTAAGCAAGCAAATTAAACAAGCTATGTATATTAATTATATATATGGGATTACTTTGTTCTTCTTTTATGATTAGAACTAGGTTCTTTGCTATTAATAAATGAAATAAAGTTACCTTTTATTGCAAAGCATAAGTTTTGTACCTTGGCCATAGTGAATAAAGGCTACAAAAATTTTATAATACTTGATTTTTTTTTTGTCTTAATGGGTTCTCAAGAACCTTCTCTCAATATTCTTTTTTAATTACATATATATATTTGTAAGTAATAATATAATATATATATTTATATGTGTGTGTGTATGTATATACACTAGTGCTAGTAGTATTGAGTAAGTTTTCTGAAATGGAACTAATATTCCAACTAATGAATAATTAAGAAGTTGCCAAGAACCAAGAAAATGCATTTTTAGCAAAAGAATACACCTTTTTTACACATTGAGTGTGTGTGGGGGTGGGGGTGGGGGTGGGGGGTGAAGAATCAGAGTACCATATTGTGGGATAGGGAAAGGTATAATTGATGGAGATATTATTGCCAGAAAATCAAGAAACAATAAATATTTTTGGCAGTGAGAAAATTAATTTAAAAATATTAGAAAAAAAATCATGCAAATTGAAAAAAGTTGATGCATGGGATATGAGTGTGACAAAAGATGGAAAGCAGTCAAAAATGGAGAATGGAGAACTCTCTTTGCCCCATACTTTGTGGATATGAGGATAAGAAATTAATTTTATATTTATTTATTTATTTTAATTTCCTCAATTCTATTTTACTTATATATTCTGTATATATATATGTGATAACTGAGAAAGAGAGGGAAATATCACAGTAGCCCATTCGAGTAAGGAGTGGGCTTTTGCATATTAGCTAGGTCAACTGTACTGTATATTACACATCTGTTCATATATCTCCCTTATCTTCCTTAGTCAACGTCTCTCTCTCTCTCTCTCTCTCTCTCACACACACACACACATTTATGAGCAGATTTTGAGTATCCAGGCCAGCTGAGATCATTACATATTTTGGGATTCTTCCAGGGCTTCTGAATTAAAATATATATATTTCAAGAACATTATTATTATTATTTTAATACATATATATATATTTATTTAGTTTTATAATTAAACTTGGTGGTAGGCACATTCTTGTGTATATATATAGTAATTAAACACACACACACACACACACACACACACAGATTTTCAACATTTTTCCTTCGTGTGCAGTGGATTTCTAGTACAGAATGAGAAGATTTTTTGCCAACTATAAATGGATGTGTGTATGTGTTTTTGATTTTGTGTATAAATATATTATATATATCTTATAATGAAAAATAAACATGAAAATTATTTGTTAGAGTGTACTTAGACCTAATTATTAAACTCTATAATATTCTAGTGCTAATAGTGCTAATTAATTAGTATTTTTCCCTTCTAATTATACACTTGAACAAGAAACTAATTATCATATATATTGCAATAATACTGTAAGATGATTATTCTAGAGACTATGTAAATATTTGCTTCCTCAAAAGTATTGGGACCAAAGATCCATTTGTTCAATGACACGTGTCATCACCCATGCTTGTTTATATATTTATATATTTTTTATCCAATCCCATTCCTCATTAAAGCAAAAGAACAAAGGAACAAATCAATAAATATTTTGCACAATTAATTAATTATATTAAAACAACATTAAAATTAATTAATTACAACCTTTAATTTATTCACACAATTCTTGAACTTATAACACAAAGCACACTTTACAAACTAATTAATAATACACAACCTTAAAAACAAAAATCCACATGCAGAAACCCTAGCTCCAAACCAAACTTATATATCACTAATCATCATCATCAACTTCATAAAATAAAATTAAAAAAAATTATTTTAATTAATTATAATTATAAATAATCAGAAATCTCGAACTTCGAATTCGTTTCGATTCTTGACGACGATATCGTACATGTGAATGGACTTGAACTTGTTGAAATCTCTGGGGAGAGAAATGAGGTGGACCGTTGACCTTTTATGGTACTGTAAGAGCTCAGGTTCATCATAGTATCTCTCCCAACCAAGACAAAACAATTTTCTCTCCAGAACTGAATATGATGTAATTGCTTCTCCCGATGCCACGTGTACTAGCAGCTTCCGCCTCGACGAACACTCGCTAGGGTTCTCCACTAGCCTCAGAACTCCATTCTTGAACACCCATACACCAGACATTATGAGAGAGAGAGAGAGAGAGAGAGAGAGAGAGAGAGAGAGAGAGAGAGAGAGAGAGAGAGGGGAGGGGTGTTTTGGGAATAATTTTGTTTTGAATATATGGGATTTTGAAGCATGAGGTGCATGAGTTTATATAGGAGAGATGGGAATATTATTTGTGTTTTTTGATGCTTTTTTTGATAATATTATGATAGAGAAGTATATATTATAAGATCTTATCAAAAAAAAAAAAAGGATATATTATTAGTAAGGGCGTGTTTGGCATTAAGAGAAATTCATGGGGATGCAAATATGATATTCTATTTTGGAAATATACTCAAGAGATGTTGTCGATCACGTGGTCTAGTCAATAAAGAAAGACATACTATAGGTTTGTTAATGTGAACATAAATAGGAATATATCTTGGCCATATATATATAATAATTATATTCACACTTTTTTTCTTCTTCTTGAAATTAGTATAATTCAAATAAACAAATAAACAATTGACTTTTTTTATATTAGATATAATACAAATAATTAATTTATATAAAGAACGGCCCTTCTTTGAAAAATAAAGCTCGAGTTCCCAATATGTCCAACCTCTGTATAGAGAATGGATGAAGCATCTCTCTAGGCACCGCTATCTCATCAACATTCACACTGAGAGTTTGCACTTTGTTTAGCTTGACATTAACTTCATTGCATGGCTGACTCATATCATTCTCCACCTCTTCAAAAGGATTCGTCCTCGAATCCGAATCTTCAATTTCTTCTTCGAGTGGTGGGGCGGTTTTGCACTTTTCATCCTCCTTGGGCTGCAACTCAACAATCTCGTCTTGCATCAATTCAATTTTTGCACCAATGCTTTCCACGATGTCTAGATCATTTTCCTCCATGGGAAACTCAATGCCATCATTCCTCTGAGGCGGTGACACGTAAATAATCTTTTTCTCCTTTGTAGCATCCTCAATATTGGACCACAAGTTCACGAATTGCTTGCTCGGACACTCTCCTCTCTTAATCTTGAATTGCTGCTCGGTTTTTGATTTATCAGTTGGTAACCAGAGCCAACATCCAAAACAGGTTTCACCTATCTTTATTTTTTTTGTTGTGTCTTCTAGTATATCTCATCTTTTCTTGAGTTGTGTTATTTAGAGTCTTCGTCAAAAAATACAAAAAAAATCGAATTTTTATTTTTTGTTTAAATTTCTTTTCAGCCAAATTAGGGTTTGTTCGTGTCAAAAAAAAAATAAAAAATTCGAAATTTAATTTTGTTTGAAGCTTCTTAGAGTCTAAGTTAGGTTTTGTCTTGAGTCTTTGTCAAAAAAAAAAAAAAATTCGAAATTTATTTTTGTTGAAGCTTCTTAGAGTCTTAGTTGGAGTTTGGTAGTGTCTCAAAAAAAAAAAAAAATATTGCTTTGATCATGTCCGAGAAGGCCGGTTATTACGGAGAAAGAATTGAGCTGCGTAGGACGTCAATGGACAAACGCTTCCAAGAACTCCAAGATCGGATGGAAGGAATTGTTACCCAACTAAAGGAATTACGCAAAGATCAACATGTTCGAGGGCCATACGTACGACGTGATGTTCACCAACCAGTTATACCTTATCCCGATAAAGAGGTAGATCGTGATGAAAATTTTGGTGTGAACGCTACAAAATCAAGGAAGGAGAGTATGGGACGATGGTCTGGATTGGATAGATCGAGCCGAGGATATTTTGGTCGAGAAAGAGATGGAGTTTATCAAAACCGTAGCTCAATGAAATTGATTATACCACCCTTTCAAGGTAAGAGTGATCCCGAGGCGTACATTCACTGGGAAAGAAAGGTTGAGCACGTATTCGATTGTAATTATTATTCCGAAAAGAAGAAAGTGAAGCTCGCCGTCGAAGCGTTCATTGACTATGCAATTAGTTGGTGGGACCAATATGTCTTAACTAGACGGCGCTGTGGTGAACCACCAATTGATGATTGGGAGTCCATGAAGGCAGTGATGAGGAGAGGTTCGTTCCCGCTCTTTATTATAGGGAATTGAAGATGCAAAGCTTGAGGAAAGTTACTAAGTCAGAAGAAAGGAGTTCGCCGAGGTGGGAATCGCAAAGGAGTTCTCCAGCGAGCATGGTGAGGGAATCGTTGCAAAAGCCTAAAAGAGAGAAATCAAAAACCGAGCAGCAATTCAAGACTAAGAGAGGAGAGTGTCCGAGCAAGCAATTCGTGAACTTGTGGTCCAACATTGAGGATGATTCTACAAAGGAGAAAAATATCATTTATGTGTCACCATCTCAGAGGAATGATAACCTTGAAATTCCCATGGAGAAAAATGTTATAGACATCGTTGAAGGCATTGGTGCAAAAATTGAAGGGATGCAAGACGATAATGTTGAGTTGCAGCCCAAGGAGGATGAAAAGTGCAAAACCGCCCCACCACTCGAAGAAGAAATTGAAGATTCGGATTCGAGGACGAATCCTTTTGAAGAGGTGGAGAATGATACGAGCCAGCCATGCATCGAAGTTAAGGATGATGATACAATCCAGCCCTGTGACCAACTTAATGTCGAGCTAACTGGAGCACAAACTTCCGTTATTGAAGTTGATGAAGACGGTTATGCAATACTTGAAGACGGAGACGGTTATAGTAATGTTAGCAATAATTTGGTGGAAAACTTGAGTTTATCGATGTTGGAGTATTCTAAACCATATGAGCTACAATTGGTTGAAGATGATCGTGAGAGATGGCTTCTATATGCTCCTTTTTATATTTGTCCGGATTCGAGGACGAATCCTTTTAAAGAGGGGGAGTATGATACGATCCTCTCGAGATCGAAGACTAAGAATTGGAATATTTGTCCGGATTCGAGGACGAATCCTTTTAAAGAGGGGGAGAATGATACGATCCGCACAAGCTCCAAGACAAAGAATTGGAAGAAGAGAAAGCGAGTGAGATTAATGGAGCTGTTCGTGTTGAAGTTGAAGAGTAAAGGCTTGAATCAGGCCTTTGAAGAGTCTATGGTTTGGAATTGGAAGAAAAGAAAGAGAAGAAGTCGTTGGACAAGTCGAATTCCATGCATCCGAGATTCTCGCCTATTCTGGCAGAGTTTACCATTCGGGTTATAACTCTCGCATCCGAAGTCCGATTGAGATGATTCAAAATGATTCGGAAAGCTAACTGAAAGATCTACAACTTTCATGTTTTGAGCGAAGAGATATCGAAGTGGAACAGTGTCGAAATTGAGCTTTAATTGCATGCACGTGCACAGCCCAATGTCGCGAGATTAG